TTTTGTTTAAATTACTATGAAATTGACCAAAGTGGTATTAATTCAAGAGCGATTTTCTCAGAAACCGTTGAAGATAACAATTTGAAACAAGAGTACCTTTTTAACGTAAAACAGTTCAGGAAAACGGAATTTGCTGTCCAATTTGTTAAAAAGTCAAAGATGAAAAAGTTACACACGCAAAGTAGCAAGGGCCCTCCCGTATCCACCCCAATGGACCTTGTGGAAATAAATCCATTAGTCCATCAAATTGTTCATCAAAATTTAGATGTGTATACTAAATTTCATTCATTTATCACAACGCGATTGAGAGATATTGCAAAAAAATGATTTCCATTCCTCCCTCTTCAATGGGTCCCTGTGCCCTTAGGAAGCATTTCCGGACTCATGTTCATATGAACTTTCTTACTTAGTTTTGATCATAGAATCGGCCTGTTTAGGGTTGGCAGCTAATTATGAGACACCTTGTATATATATAGGCAGTCCTCGAATTACATCGTTTCGAGTTGTGTTGACAATATTTTAACACCAGTCCCCCAATTTAACGTCAATGGTTTCGAGATACGTTATGGCCTATTTCCTATTTCACAATATTTTTAAGGAATATGATCCAAATTTTGAAAGAAGTTTTAATGTTAATAACAAAATTATTACTTCCTACCAATGTTACCAAGAAATGTATGAAATCAAGAAAAACGAAGGAAATTAAGGTCGAATTGATACGTTTGTAAACCAATGATTTAGTCTTTATTATTGTTCTTTCTATTTTTTCAATTGTGCAATAAATATGTACCAAATACATGGTTTGTTTTGGAAATAAAATGATTATTTAATATTAATATGTAGTTTTTTATATTATTTGTTCTGATAGAACCTAACTTCTTCACTTTATATAGAAATAGATTAAAAAAATTAATCGACAAACATCGTTTCGATTTACGTCATATTTTGAGAACTGAACATGCCGTAAGTACGAGGACTGCCTGTATCTCCAAATTCATATACTCCCGGTAGATTTAGTGAGACTTTATTATAAATATTGAATTTAATGTCATCTAATCTCCATGAACAACATTTGAACCATATCAGATGTGTTTATAGTACCTATATGATTTTTAGAGGGTTTTAGAGCCTATTTTGTTAAAAAATAGTGTTGCATAAGGTAACAATAAAGTTATTGCCAATGCATGTGGTTTCATAATGTTCTTAAAGATTAGTACCTAATGTTCAAACTACCAACCCCATTGAAAATTTTTTATTTTAGCCGAACTGGGCGACTATGATGAATCTCAGCATACTCCCGCAACAGTTTCCGAGTTTCGGTTCGTTCCGAATCAGACCGAAGAAATGGAGATAGACATACTTGAAGAATTTAAGAAATGTAAAGGCTTATCTCCCGCACACGCCGAACAGAGTTATTTAAATGAAGTAAAATGGTTAGAAATGTACGGTGTGGATATGCATACTGTCTTAGTAAGATGAGAAATATGTATTTATTCAAATTGGTGATGATTAACTTTTAGGGGAAAGACAGTATGGAATACAGATTAGGTCTTACACCTACAGGGATTTTAGTTTTTGAAGAGCCTAATCAGAAAATCGGGTTATTTTTTTGGCCAAAAATTGGCAAACTGAATTTTAAGAAGAAAAAGTTGACTTTAGTTGTCGTCGAAGATGATGACCAAGGAAGAGAACAAGAACATACTTTTGTATTTAGGTAAGAAAAAAACTCATATATTTATACACATACAGGGTGTAAATTTAGAGTGTAACTTTACAACAACTCCATTATATTTAGATGTTTCTGTTCGGAACATCATGTATCATGTGGAGCTTGTATGTTAAAAATGTTTTTGAGTTTTTAGCACTTTTGTTTTTTGCTTAAATGAATTTAGTACAAACTATGTATAATTTTAAGTCATTATGTACAATAGTCGGAGATGAAAAAAGTATTTGTAGGTCTATTTTTTATTCTATGTATCTGCACTAACTGTTATCCATATTTGTCGGGCGTTCAAGAGACTCGCGTTAAATGTAATCATTAGTTGTTATAAGCCTTCTAAATGAACCATTTGACAATAATTAATAATTGTTGTACCACCAGAAAATGTCATTGGCAAACAATAAAAACTATGAAATATAGAAAAATAAGTATGTCACTTTCTGTAAATGATTAACAATCATTCAGTATTTTCATCAGTATTTTCATTTTCAGTGTTAAATGATCAATATAGAGTTGTAAATACATTAATTAGAAACAACATACTAGTCATATCCACAAAGTAAGAGTACATTGAGGTTGAAGGCGACTATATCGAAAAATAGTGTTTGTGTACTTTTCAGAATTCAAGAAGGTGCTATATTTTTTCTTGATTTTTTAGATTCTTGGAGAATTTAGTATTCGTTTTTATGAAAAATGTTTACAACTTTTATTATTACTTGTATTGTAGTACCTATACTCCGCGGTCGAAATTATAGAGAGTGACTCATCGCTAGCTTTTGGACTAGTAAGGGGGATGAAGCGTGCCGGGAACGAAAATCCATTGGCGTGTCTGCGTAAAAGGCAACAAGATATAGAAAATATTGAAAAAACATAATAAAACATAACATCTAATATTTTCTACGGTTTGCTATAATCGGCATTTTGATCCATTTTAATTATTACAGCATTTTAAAACGTCCCAGTTGTGTTTTTTTAATTTATAAATTTATTATAGCCATGGAATTAGACCCCTCGTCTACGCTTATGCTATGACGTTTCTCAGGACTGGTAAATCAAGTCCGTTTACACCCACTAAAGAAGCATTTCCCTATTCCCTACCAAGTGCAAAAGACAGAGATAGAATATAGATCGACGTTCAGTGTAACTCAGTCTATAGACGATTATAGATTCTATCGATGTGCGTAGCGAGCGGCACAAAGATAAACAATATTGAACCGTATAAAAATTATTTTATAATTTATACGCATTATGGTAATAGTGTTTTTATATTATGTCTGAATCACTCTCTATAATTTCGACCGCGGAGTATAGACATGATGAAAGAAAAATTAATGTTTCACTTGTAACAAAAATATAGGGTGGTCCATTTGAAATAAAGTATAATAATTTTGTGATTTAAAAATAATATAATCACATTTTTTATTTTAGAAGGTGCTGCTCCACATAAGATTTTAGAGATACTCTAACCTAAATGTATGAAAAACACGTTTTTTTAGGTTATTTTACATCATTTTTCTCCGCAACACTTCTCAAAGTACTAATCTTAAAAATTCATGTCCAATCATTGAATATTTATTTGGCATATTCGTAGAAACTTGGAAATTCCACTTTACCATGCCATGGGATTCAGTAGTCTGCCATATTAGTTTTTTTTGCTTGAAAATTTAATCATCAGTGTTATGGGATTACAGAATCTATGGTTTTAAAATTTTACTGTGTCGAAATTCCATTTCAAGTGCTATGGGGTTATAGACTGTGGTATGTGAATTTTATTCTGAGTGGAAATTCCATCCTCAAGGTTATGGTGTTATAGAATCACCTCGCCTGAAATATTGGATCCACCATCTTGAATTTCAAAAGTATAATGCAACATTTGGATTCAATGACCGCAACAATCTCAGAGTACAGTATTGGGGGTCATGAAGGCTTGCAGGGTCATATTTAAAAAAATTAAGTTGATGATAGTCCTGGAGAGACAAAATTTTACATATAAAAATTTATTATGCCATTGGCAAAGGGCAAAGGGCAAAGAAAGTGTTCTTTTCTTTAATATTACCTTAAACCAATTACATTAGCCTTGATTATTTAGAGGCATAATGTTGGTCCCCTGATTATGCAACTTTGCCCTCCATTTAAGCTACTTCGTATCTCTTAGCGTTTACGAGATCCCTGTAGTGAGAAGCTTTGTAACAGCCTGTATATCCATATTTTCTTTTAGAAATTTTCTGTAGTCGACAACATTTTTTTCAGATGTAAATTCTGTTTTCTTTTTCATCCACTATTTTGGATTCTGACTTCATATTCGTAATCGTCAACCTTAGAAAACCTGAAATTCCAGTGGAATTTAAGTGTTTGTTATTAAATTCTTCTGTCTTTTTCTTCATCTGAAGCTACTCAATTTCTGAATATCAATGAATACACCAGATTAATTAATTTCCACAGATGACTTCTCGGAAAAGAAAGAAGATATTCGAATGATTCAAAATAGATTTGGAAAGGGGAAAAAGTATTTTCAGATTCTATAACAAGTTCTATTGGAAAAATTACCTTGTTATGTAACATAACCTCAAATATAACAAAAAAAAACGTATTTTTACCACTTTTAGGTTAGGATATCTCGAAAACGTGATGTAATGGGGCAATTCTGAGGTCGAATTTAGATTCATGTCAAAAACCTTTGGAAAAATATAAATTAAAAAAAATTGTTTGTTTTGGTATTTGATCTAAAACACCTTGTATGGTAATATATTTTTGAATTACGAGCCGCCATTATCATACATAATATTCCGAAATCAAACTTCTTACATGTCATGGCCCCAGAGATATTGAATAATGACACATTAAATTTACACTTTGCATAATTTTTTTAAATTTTAGGTTGCATAACGAGAAAGCCTGCAAACACCTTTGGAAATGTGCCGTTGAACATCACGGTTTCTTCCGCCTGAGGGCTCCGGTAAAAGGTCCCAATGCAAGGCAAAATTTCTTTAGGATGGGTTCCAGGTTTAGATATTCTGGTCGAACAGAATACCAAAGTACCTATCAGAATAGGGCTAGACGGACAGTTCAATTAGAAAGGAAACCTAGTCAAAGGTTGTCCAATTTTCTGAATTAATTCTTAAAATTTATTATATGAATTTAATGTCTCCTCTTTATAGGTACGGGCGAAGGCAGAGTCATGTCTTAAGGGAACGGGAAAAAGAAAATCAACCTATGTCTTCGACGAGCAGTGAAAAGTCTACTGCTACCAACGAACCTATTTATTGTACAGTGAAAGATGACATATCCAAGAGTATTACACCGACGCCATCACCTATTATACCAACAGGTATTTCAAACATATTTACATTTCCGGAAATGTGGAACAACTATAGTTTTATTAATATATAGGGTGTTTCATGACGAACTATACGTACTGTAATTGCAGAATGGACCACTTAAATAAAGTCCCGTGTCAAAATTTGTGGATATTCGGTGATTCATGACCTTTTACCAAATATGTTTGTGAAAATTAATTTTTTGTATGTACCACATATCTCTGAAGAACAACAGACTCTTGAAGTCAGAACTCCAAAATTTCAGGACAACATTGGGAAAATTTACAAATTTTGTTGGTCATTCAAAACAGTTCCCCTGCATATTTCAATTTACTATTTCATATAGCATACTGAAAGTACACTAGTATTGTTTCATTGCAATGTGTGATGGTAATAGTTTAAGTAACTAGGTGGATCTCACAGGGTCTAACGACACTTATAGTATATAATAATTTAATAAATGGAATTCTAAATAAAAAATTTAGATAAATTTGGAACGAATACATTGAAGATGAATTTTTCGAGACAAAACGTCTGAATCTGGTTCGGGCTGAGGCAATACATTATTGGGGGTCATGAAGGCTTGCAAAAAATGTAATAAATATTGCAGGGTTGTATTTAAAAAAATTAAGTTGATGATGATCCTGGAAAGACAAAATGTTACATAAAAAAATTGATTATGCCATTCGATAGAGGGCAAAAAGTGTTCTTCCTTTTTCAAGATTACCTCAAACAAGGTTGAAATGAAACAAAAATGGATTCCCAACATTTCGGTTTTTTTCAAATATTTCGAAAACTAATGTTAGCCTTGAATTTTTAGAAGCATAATGTTGGTCCCATGATATTATGCAACTTTGCCCCCATTTAAGCTACTTTGTATCTCTTACCGTTTCCGAGATCCCTGTAGTGAGAAGCGAATTTGTAACAGCTTAAAGATTAAACAATTTTTTTCAAAAACGCATTACTTATGTCTTTTTCTTTCTGTCAGATTGTACAATTTTATCAGCATAATACAGGGTGCGGCGAAGTGATAGGAACTATTCGGGATGTCAATAAAAACCAAACCACACAAAGCAAAGAAGACAGTTTTTTATTTTTGGAAACTACATATGCTATTGATCTATGGATCATCTGTTGTGGAGTCGCAGCAATTTCTTGTCAAATTCTGTGGTCGATGTCTAAAAACACTCGATTTGAGATATCCCCAAAAGAAAAAAATTGCAGGGGGACAAATCAGGCAAATGGGGAGGCCACCCGAGGATACCCCGATCCTGCTGGAACCATCTTCTTCTTCTTCTAGTGGTTGGTCCTAATAAGTCCCATAGCACTGCAGCCTGATTAGGCCTATTGTGCGTCCCACTACTAGTCCTATTCAGCAAGTAGATTTGTCCTTTCTACAAAGTCCAAAAGCTTTCTTGCTGACACTTCTCTCAGTCCCTTGGGTTCCAAATAGGGTCTCCCAAGGAGTGCCATTCTGCTACGTGCAAATCCCGGGCACTCGCCCAGGATATGCAGAGAAGTTTCATCTGCCGATTCACAACCTCGGCAGACCGGACTGTCTACAAGCTTTAGTTGGAACCATAGATCTTCTCGCTGATGATCGTTTAACTCGTTGATTTTTGGACGCAAAGAATTGTTTAACATATCAAAATAGCGATCTCTGTTGACTGTTACCGTTACTCCATCCTCTTCGAAAAAGTAAGGACCCCACACCGAACTCAGATACTGCACGTCAAACGGTAACCTTTGGACTGTGAAGTGGTCGCTGATAAAGTTCCTGTGGATTATTTCTCGACCAATAGCGGAAATTCTGCTTATTCACAGCGTCCGATAGGTGGAAATGAGCTTCGTCGCTGGACATGAAAACAGCTGCTGGGGGAATGTTTCGAAGAATATCCCGGCACAAAGTACGGGTTTCAAAATCTCTTTCATTTAATTCTTGCACCACCATCATTTTGTACGGATGCATTCCGAGTGAGTTGTGTAAAGTTCACCGAATGCTTTGATCCGACATTCCCAGTGCAACTGCATGCTGACGTGCTGAATGCCTGGGAGACTGCTATATGGAGATTCTTTAACTGCATTCACATTTTCCGCTGTTCTTGCTGTCCTTGGTGGGCCAGTAAATTTTTGCTTAAGTGCAGAACCTGTTTCACGGAAATTTAAAAACCTCTGCCCGGAACCGCACCATGATGACCAACATCAAACTGATTACGGAAGGCACGCTGCCTCATTTCATCATTTCTAATGATCTCCTCCACTGCGAAAGCGCGATGAGCTCCGGTCCAAGCTATGTCGATAATTGAAAATGGCACAAACTTATCTACCTAAGGCGACCGCGTGCACAGCGTTGCTGCTTCCGCAAATCGAGCAACGACTATTTGAAATCGTGCCTATCAGTTTGCCGCACCCTGTATTTCTCTTTTTCATATAAAAGTAAATCAATGTAAAAAAATAAATGATCTAAAGTGGCTGATAGCATTCTTCGTTAAGATACCGATTTCTTAGTTACTGGTCATTTAGCCATCACTAGATGTTAAAACCAAAAGTTTTCCCCTATCCCTATGCTTTCAAAGTAAAGGGTCAATATTTTTTGAACTTATAATAGTATTCCTTTGGTCTTCATTATATTTGATTGTTTAGTTAGGATTTAGTTTCTGTCCATTTACTTGATGTACCTACGTCATGTTTTTCAATTATTGATGTTTTTGACTTTTCATCGTTAACTTTAGGTTATGCTTTCTGAGCTGTTCCTTCAGATGGTTTAGGTAATATTGTAATTCTTTCCCACTATCACTTACTATTTTTTTATCATTTTAAATTTCCAGTGTTTTCTTCATTATTCTTATATTGTTTAGTCTATGACAACATTAAACAGGAGTGAACTTAATATCCTTGTTCAAGGTTTTACTTGTTCTTTCATTTGTTATTATTAATATATTTTCAATGATTTGGTTGAGATTTTTTGTATCTTCGATTCATATTTTATATTTTTTCAAACTTCTTAAAAGCAAAGACAATAATTGTTAATTTTTCTTGGTAATCTTTCTTAGTAATCCTTTATAATGTTTCTTATTGTAACACATATTTATTGTTTAACTTAATGTAGGAATTCTAACCTACCATAAATTATATAATAGTTTTAACTGTTCTCAATGATAATGTTAAAAAGCTGATTAAAATATGTACTTTCAATATGCTGTATGAAATAGAAAAAATATGCAATGCAAACTTTTCAGAATGGCTACAAAAAAATGGAAATTTTCCTGATACTGTTGTCAATTTTGACAATCTGACTTTGACTTTCAGTAGATTACAGAGTATGTATATGAAAAATAAATGAAAGTGTAATTTCTGAGTAGGCAACAGAAAAAATATGTGAATTTTATGAATTGTCTCAAAAACTATCTGTTCGATTTTATTCAGGTTTATTTTATTTGAAAGTATGCATGTTGAGGTATGCCGACAAATTTCTTTATAAATATATGTCGATTGGGAGCGCTGTTGTCGTAGCTGGTGTAAAAAATAACTTCAAAAAGATTCTTGAAATATAATGTAGGATTTAAAAAAAAAATCATTCAATTTTAATGTCCGACCTTTCTGGCTTTACAAAAGAAAAATAATTAAGTGAAAAAAAATCCTACGTTCCGAAGTAGAAAACCTGTGTGAAAATATTGTGTCAAATTATGGAAGCAGTTGATCGAGCTGTTTTCTGAGTATTTTGGGGACCTCTGAATAGTATCTTTCAATGTTTCAAGATAATAACGTTTGAAGTTTGGCAAAGAATTGACACGCTTGGTAAATTAGTTGCTTCTTTTAAATCTCCCATTTTACAGTTCTTGGAATATCAAGATGACATTTACACACGATATTCTTAATTTTCTAAACCTGGAGACTTGCAAAAATCGATTTTTATAAAAAAATTATAATAATTACATAATATGCAATATTGAAAAAAACTTTTTTACTTAATCATTGGAATTCCAATTTGAAATTTACACACAATATTCTTAAGACTACAAACTTTAAAATGAACAAAAATTTGAAAAAACATTTTTGTCTACTCGGATATTCCCCCTTAAAGTACTTGAATAGTTTAAAACCTAGAACCAATATAAGTTATAGTGGAAATGCATGGATAAACTTGTATATCTACAAACATTAACCCACAATTTATTTAAGTGATCATTCCATACTCATCTACATTGCCCTCCACTGTGCCATTACGGTACGTACAGTTTGTGATAAAGCACCCCTTATAATTAATATAAATAATGTAAATTATAGGTCCTGAATCGATTGGTGTAGAAAGTCGGAACAGCTTTGGCAAGGCATCAATTGGACAGAATAGTTTTGGAAAAGCCTCTGTTACTTCTTTTGGAAAAGCTTCAACCGGAAATTCGTTTGGGAAAGCATCTCTTGGTTGTGGTTCTACGTACAGGTTAGTTATTTATTATAATAATGATGATTATGATGAAAGATGATGATGGTGATAATGATTATAATGTTGATTATTGATGATGATGATGATGATTAGAGCCTGATGTAATCTAATGAATTATCATCGATATCAGAAATTATCCGCTTTTGGCATTTAAAGTTTTAAAATGCATAGCAAAAATAGGAGTTGAGGAATTTGAAAAATTAAGTGTTCACAAACATAAAAAGGCTGGTGAACATTTGTCTTTTTTCTTTTTAATTTAATTATATATTTCTGCCACACTGGAAATAAAATGATATTTTAAGTTTATTTAATTTTTTCTATTTTCAATATGAATAGAAACAGAATATAGGAAATATTCTTCTTTTGTTTTGTTTTTTGAACATGTGCATGCTTATTGTAAATTGTGGCAACATTAATGGTTATAATTAATTAAACTGGCAAAATTCTAAAGTAACACATAGGAATAATGAAATAATAGTGGTAGTATTCAAAATAAATAATTTATTAATTAACATAAAATAAATTCTTGTAGATTCATTTTTCAGTTTGATATTTTTTAAAAATATAATCTTTTTTGGTATTATATTCTCCTTGTTTTTAACGCTTTCACCTTCTATTTCTTGGATATTTTCAGCTTCAGTTTCCAACTGTTTATCAGTTCCATAGGTATCAGTTTTATAAGCCGTTTTCTTTCGCTCTTAGCTTTGAATCATGATCACTGAATCAGGATCAGACAAACACTAACTAGATCCATGAATCCAATTTCGAAGAGAACAGGATATCACTAGCCGTTTTGTTTCGCTATTAACTTTGAATCATGATCATTGAATCAGGATCAGACAAACACAAACTAGATCCATGAATCCAATTTCGAAGAGAACAGGATATCACTGTTTACTGTTGACGTTTTCCAACATAACCAAAATATCAATTTAAATAAAAAATAATAATTATGGATAAAATTTTTACCCTTCAACACATGTTACTGGTTAGTTAAGAACTTCAGGTTTCTGAAGTTTGCATTGTAAGTATTACCTATTAATTCCACATTTCAACAAATTTGATTGTTTTCTAGTCTGAATTAGTCCAAATTGAAACACCTATCGGTAGCAGCTCGTCCAGTTCTGACGAGGATAATAGAAAATATCATATTCGAATAAAAAAATTTGTGGAAATTGTTGTACCTCAGTATTCCATTACAGACTTTAAAGCTCATTTTAGAATGGAACGAACTACATTACAATCATTTATAGACATGTACAGGCCCAATATTTCACCACCAAGAGGTGGTTGGCCTCGAGTAACACCTGAAAAGGCTATTTTGGTTACTGTTTGGTATTTGGCGAATTTAGAAACATTTAGACAGATTGGTGATAGTTTTAATATCACTATAAGTTGTGCTTAAATACAACACAATAAAAAATATAATACAATTTTTTGTTACTGTTGCTACAAGTAAAATGGCCAAATGAAGATAAATGTCACAGCCATAGTATTGCATTTGCTCGAAAACAAGGGTTACAAGATATCATAGGTGCTATAGATGGAACTCATTTCCAAATAAACAGACCGAAACACCATCAGACTGATTATTGCAATAGAAAAGGGTACCATAGTGTGATCATGCAGGGAGTAGTTAATTCGGAAATGTTATTTATTGATGTTCGTGTAGGTGAACCTGGTTCTCTTCTACATGATGCCCGTGTCTTTAGACGATCATCACTTTATAGAAAAAGTATAGAGGATATCGATAGTCACTTTCATGGAAGGTATAAACTTCTTGGGGATTCAGCCTGTCCACGTTTACACTGGTTGGACACACCCATAAGAGATAATGGGCATCTTACAGCAGTAGAAACTGAATATAAATAATAATATAATAATAATATATATAAACATTCATCCACTAGAATAATGATAGAAAATGCATATGGCATTTAAAAGATTCAGATGATTGCAAAAATTTGATAACAATAAGTTATCTTTTATATCAAATTGTGTGATTACAGCATGTATTCTACACAACATATGTAAAATGAAAAATTATATTAATGATGAAATTTTTATTGAGGTTGAATATTTATATCTACTGTTTACTTCATTTATTTTTTATTTTACTTAAGATTAATGTACCTATCAAAAAAAAAATTAATTTAATTCTAACAAATTAAAAATAACAAAGAGAACTGTAATATAAACGTGTTAAATCTAAGAGAAATTGTGAGGTTTTCATTTCAGCACTAGTACAGTTGATCTTTTTGCGAATTCTAATGTGCGATATAACAGCACTTACTTCTTTTCTTCTTTGTTCAATTTTAATTTTTTTATTTTCTATTTCCAGTCTTTCCTTACGTCTTTTTCCTTTTTCTGTAATTTTTGGCTTTGGTACAGGAATATCATTCTTTACTATTTCTGGTATTTCAGAACCTGATTCTGTTTCATCTACAATATTGCTCGTTTAATTTACTTCGGATTCCCTAGCAGGCATTACTTCTTCATTAACTCCTACATCAATAATATTTAATGATGTAGTATTTGATAGTTTATTACCAAATATTTCGTCAAGTCTATCATAATATTTATAGTTTAAAGCACTTCTGCCAGTCTTCCGCAGTCCTCTATTGTCGTTGACAGCTCAATATATTCTCATCAAGTTGGCCCACTTCCTTCCTATTTTTTCAGCAGTTCGCTACAAGTAACATATTTCTTTTATAGATATTTTAACAGGTACTTTTTATTTACTTACAAAATAGTTATGTGCTGCCATTTCTTCCACAATCATTATCCAAACTTTTTTAATTTTTTTTGCATTATGGAAATCATCTTTGTGATTTTCATATAAAGATATCAACAACAATGTTTCCGCATCTGACCAAAATGCGTCATTTTCCTTATTTTTTGTTCAGCTGTTGCAGTTACACTCTGATGTTCATTGAAAAGTTGTTGTGCATATACTAAATCTGAAATAAACATACAGCTAATGTAGATGGATAATTTTCATAACTTAATTGAGAATAAAGATGTATGTAATGTACAGATATAAAGTATTATACTTTAGATCTCTGATGTAATGTTATTTACATTATCTAGGTACCTGTTGAAGCTCTATTGAAATCATCGTCTGTTACTTCCAAATTTACTATTATTCCTTCACATTCCAGTTGTAATATTTTCATAATATTAGCATTACTCGAATTCATTTTGGTATATCTATTTTTCTATGCAGAATTAAAATAAAAAATAGTAACTGCCGTCTTAGGGAAAAAAGAAGCCACCACAATTTTTAGGTTATATTAAATATATGATCGCGATCAAACGTTCGAATCACAGAAAAAGTTTGATTCATAGGGGAAAGGGGATTACCGATCCTGTTCATATAATCTGACAAGATCCGAAAACGGCAACCGAAAGAAAGCAGCTATAATTACTTAATAGTTGGTCAGTATCACTGACATCATTGCGATCACTTTGTACAACGGGTTCTTCTGATATATCCATTTCATTGTCTTATTTATCATTATCTTCTAAATCATTTACTTAGATGTTTGCATTTACAGCAGGGCCTCGATGATCCGAACACCGAAAATTTATACCCTGTTCGGATTCACGAAGCGTTCGGATTATAGTATGTAGACAATTTGAAAGGGATTTTTCGAAATAAAACAAAAATATTTTACATTATAATGTATTTATTTAAGTATGTACGTTAGATGTATGTTAGATAAAATGCTATTAATCACACTTTTTTAAAGAATTCTTAATATAGTGCTTTGACGAGTAGTATTTAGCGACATAGAAAATGCTTTATCCCTTAATTTACGTAGCAGCATTTTTTCCGGAATAGAAATGTCGACTTCATCTGCCTATTCCAAACAAAAAACGCACTGCGTGGCACTGGCGAGACAGAAACTGTGAGAAACGGCGGTTGCGCAGGGGTAAAGGGGCTCGTTCGGATTATAGAGGCGTTCGGACTAGCTGGGGTACGGATTATCAAGGCCCTGCTGTATATCTCAATTTGTCTTCCTCTGATAGAAACTTTAAATTTTCTTTGACAAGATTCTTTGTTCTTTCTACTGTCAGTTTATTTCTTTTTTTGGTCTTTATATTAGCATGTGTTTTAAAGTTGTACTGTAGTAGCTAGCATAGACAAGAATTTGCAAGCAATCTTACAGAGATGGGTCTTTGGGAAAACTTTCCAAGCTCTTGCTTTGTCCCAGCTACCTCGTTGAGTCCTATACTCTGTCAATTCACACAAGATCAAAGTTTCGTCAATGTCCATCGTTTGAAGATAAATTATTAGCTATAAAGCTCATGGCATCTTCAGATAAATTTCCTACATGATGACTAGAACATAGTAAACTTGCTGCTAATTGAACTTCATGAAATGGAAATTCTTTACGATTTGATAAATACCGAAATATTCTTACTTCTGTAGTAGAAAAATTCTGCAGGTTTCCATCTTACCTATATTAAGACGAATATATGCTAAAGTAGCTGCATCCCCTTTAAGATTATTTATAGCTTTGGATATGGGCTCAAGAAGATTGTAAGATCTCTGTACATTATTCCAAAAAATGTTCGTCGTCCATAATGATTTTTTTAATTTGAGCATCGATGCTATTCACAATAAGTGGATCTAGGCAACTAGCTTGTAGCTTTGTTTTGTTTCTATACTTACTAATGTAGTGCCCCATCTAGTGCCTATGGGTACCTTTAGAGAAATTAAACATTCATTTCGTTCGGCCTGTACCTTCATAAAGGTTTGTTTTGGAATGTTCTAATTATTAAAATATTGGATGACATCTTTAGCAGATGCGATCGCATGAGAGATATTTGGGATTTTTGTAAAATCTTTTGCTAATAGGTCATCCATAATAAATTATATGTGGATATTTGTTGGTTAACAATGTTAGGTGCATTATCTGTTACAACAACACTCACTTTGTCAGGATCTATCGAATCAATTTCTGTGTTTAACACGTTTTATGTACATTGTA